CTAAAGTTGTACTGTGTACTTTCTGTATTGTATTTAGTGAGTTAATTTGTGTTCTAAATTATATTTGCTAATGCTTACTTAGAGATTGATGTATAGCAAGTCATTGATGGAGGTTAACTCTCTTAATATTAAATTATTGGCCACTGCATTTTAGGTATAGTAAGGGCCTTGCAGATAATTACTACTCTGGGGTGGCTACATCTTGATATCACTATATCAATTTATATAGGTTACTATATATGTAGAAGTAATGCCTCACTACTATGATAAGTGTACATCTTGCAATGTATCAATATATCAGATATATATATATATATATATATATATATATATATATATATGTAACTGCATATTAAATGTATTATTACAATTCTAAAAATCAGGATAGGTAGAGTTTTTGCATTTGATGTGTTTGTGTATATTTTAATTATTTTGGCTCTCTTCACTATATATAGTGCTGTGAATAAAAAATAATAATAAAAAGGAAGGCACAGATGTCTATGGCTATTGTGTGGTACTGCCTATGTGAGACTAAAAGGTACGTTAGTGCAGAATTGGGGGTAGTGGCTGGTAGAGCCCTAGAATATTCTCTGGGTTGGCAGTCTTAGCGAGTTCACATGATTTTAGATATGATTGTGAACTGGATTTATGAAAGGTGATTTGTGTGTGATGTGGTAAGCACACTGTCTACATGCATTACTCTCATGTGTCAAAATCAAAGTCCCAGCACATCCCTCCTGAGATATGAAAGATAAAGCGATAGGACACGTTGTATTTCTCTTAATATAAAGGATTTGTAGTCCACTAAATTCTCAGATGTCAGCTTGTGTTTATAACTAACAGCTGGCACTTCGTCTTTTCCTGGCATTTGTGAAATGTACAACGTAGATGGCATTTCTAGATGCATTTAAATTGAAGTGAACAGACTTTAAGCCCAAGAGAACAAAGACTTTTTTGCTTGGATTTGTTGTGCATTTATAGTTAGCAAGCTGTGAATTGCCCTGTGGAAAGCATATTGTACAAGGCCAGCATTGGCAGAGCCCACTGTTAACTTTTCCTGGTCTTTAATAGTGCAGGGAAATATTTGTCTTAGGTAAAAATAAAAATTTAGTCTGATGTAAATCTATTTGAAGTAGTCAATATAACCACATAACACTTTATTCTTCTTACTTTTAAAAGGAGAGACACTAATATGCTTTTGAACCTTGAAAGTGAATATGGTGCCCTCCTCAAGTATTATGTCATCTGGCCTTTACAGAAAGCTTCTATAGCAACTTTGGAGACAAATTATTTTTTTTGGTTCAGACCTGATCACTTATTCCACTATTGCATGCTGAGAAAGAGGAGTGGTTATGCACATGTTCTTAATTTATAAATCTCCCCCAGACTAACTCTGAAGGTTTTCCCAGAATTTACAGTATAATGCCAATTAAAGTAATCAACTGTGGGCATTTTTTTCTTGTTCAATAAAGTATACTGTGTTTAGTTCAGAAAGTGTACTGTGCAAACTTAATATTATCACGCCTATATGAATTCAACATATGGACTCCAGCTGGAGAAAGCACTGCAATAAGGGCTTGACAATCAAACTTTTGAAAGTGTAAATGGAATTCAACTATAGACAATTGGAATGGATATGGGTAAGATGCCTCTTAAAGCAAAATTATACCCATAACCATAAAAAAATAATGTTCTTTAGCAGGGAACATACATTATAGATTAATAATTATTAATTATGTTACCAAAATTAGTGTGTGCTATAAATTGCCTCCACAGCTGCTCCTGGTTCTTCTTGCTGGAAGCTGCTATTTTGGTGAAGCCCAGAGTCCCTGAGCAGCAGTAAATCTTTAGGCTGTCAGCAGATTAGCCTCTAGTGGCTCTGATTTTCAGCTCAGAGCCAAAAAATAGAGAGCAACCGAGCATGTGCAGAGCAGGGACGAGACAGTGTATTACTGGATTTTAAACAGTATAGGCAACTTCTTTTTAATGCTTTACATAGCAATATCTGCAAAAGGGGCAAGCCTGAACCGATCTAGCAGAACCTTATTTTCTGACAATATTTACACTTTAAATAATATTGAGTATTGAAGACAGTTACGTGGCATACAGTAACAGCTCAAATAAATTGGCAATGTGCCGTCAAGGAACACAATGGGGTTTATTTACTAAAGCTGGAGAGTTCAAAATCAGACTCCCTTCTGCATAGAAACCAATCAGCTTCCAGGTTTTATTGCCAAAGCTTCATTGAACAAGCTGAGGTTAGAAGCTGATTGGTTTCTATGCAGAAGGGAGTCTGATTTTGGACTCTCCAGCTTTAGTAAATAAACCCCAATTGGTCTAGGGCCAAAACCGTATAACCAGAAGCACAGAGAAAGGTGTCATAGATAGAAGAGTAGAGACAAAAGAGCAAGAAGAAATAAGAGGAGAGGTAGGAAGGATAAAAAAGAAGTGTGAGATTTAAGGTTTTTTTATGCGGAGGGGGAAGGTCTTATACCATAATGACCAGACTTAGAAGTTAAGCATACATCACATAAGTAATCCTTTCACAGATGACAATATGCCTGTAACAGGACTGCTGGCAGATCACTATGGAGTCACTCTTGCTAACCGGATCAACAGAGGCCTCTCCATGGGTCACCAACACAAGAATGGGTCACCAGGATGAGCACCAGAATCTCCCATCTGACATGGTCCTTAATTTTTAATGATTGTAGGTTGAAATTTGAAAAAAGGTCGTTTTCTACCTTAAAGGCCATGGCTCTTGAAAGACATAAAAAAAAACCCATATTGATCAGCCAAGTAGTGCTGACATAGTGCTTTTCATTTTTATTTTTTGAATAGCTCTGTATTCATTCATTAAACTTACCTGAATTTAACCCCTTCGCTCTTAAGGGTAAAACAAATCTTAACTCCTAAGCACAATTTTGCAACTTTGACGTGTTAGTTAAACTGTACATATCACATTTACTTTGTGCATCCAGGAGGAGGTGGATTATACCTTTTTTTTTTTTCAGGACAAATTGGGCTTTCATTTGGTGGTAAATGGTAATGGATATCTCCAGATTTGTTTTTTATTATCAAAGGAAAACTGGCAAAAATAGTACAAAAAAAATATATTTTTTTTTTACTTTAGCTGTATATTTCTTGCTATTACCATAATCTACCACCAAAGAACAACCCAAAATAATTTCTCCTGCTCCTGTAGATCACAGTGATACCACACATGTGTATAGTTAGTGTTAGTTGTTGTTTGTATCCGTAGTACGGCCCAGCAACAATAGAGCACATTTTGATTTTTTTTTTATCCTGCCACTAACTGACACTGACACTAATTTAAAAATTAAAAAAAATTCAGACCAAAAAAAATAAAATGCTGACCCTGACCTTTGACCTTGACCCAAACACTAACCCTGGCACTGATCTAGATCAAACCTTGAGCTAGGTATTTTTTAAAATTTCTATTATTTTTTTCTTTCTTTCACTCTTTCTCTCTCTCTTTCTTTATCTCTCTTTCTTTCTTTCATTTTTTTTTTTCTCTCTGAAAGGACAGAGACAGATACAATGTACCTCTCTCCTCCATTGAGAGAGAGTAAAAACATGGGGGTGGGCTGATCACTGTGATAGCCAATCACAGGCAATCACAGCGATCTGGTGACCCAGAATCTTGAGTTCCAGGTCCAGGGACCAAGGGCTTTCAGTGAGACACCAGTTTTTGTGCCAGCACAAAGACAGGTACGCAAATATACGGACCTACGGAAAAAAGGCCAGTCCAGTGGGTCCGCATATTTGCGTACGGTTGGCATGAAGGGTGTGAATTCATATCATCCTCTTGGAATCCACTGTACTAGAGAACTCTAAGTACTGTACTAGAGGACTGAAAGACAAAGGAACAGCATAAGTAATGAGATGTGCTACAGTACTCATGTGCCTAACAAAGTGATAGGTGGAGAAAGCAGCATAACAAAGTGATGAGCTCAGTGGTCCACTGCTTCCCTTTTCACTGTCCAGTCTCAGGCTGGGGGAGGGATTTGTATGTGTCAATTAAAGCGGTATTAAAGAAAACATTTATTACATTTCAGCTTACCAGTTCTTAGATGTGATGGCTGCATTAGTTTTTCTTTTAAGGCTTTCTTTTCTTATAAAAAAAACTAATGCAGCTATAAAAATTCACCTGGTGATCTAGCCAGCAAGTCAGTTTTTCAGATGTAGCAGTTAGAGAGTTAAGACAAACCATTTAACACTGAAAGGGGCGCTTACAATGGTCCACTTTTAGTCATTTAAAACCTTTATCCCAATAGAAAAAAACAGTTGTAACCGATTATAAAGTGTTAGATGAGTTTAGCTTCAATTTGTTAGTGTATTTAAATCTGCAAATGCACCTAATATTCCCCTCCCCCCAGATTAACAATGCTGCTTTCCAAAGTTGTCTCTGTTGTTCCTTCATCCAGAGCCTTAAACAGTCTAATACATGGGGTGTGTTACTGGCCAGATCACCAGGTGAAAACAGAGGGGAAAAAAGCCTTAAAAAAAAGAAAATGAATGCAGCCACCACATCTAATGATTGGTATGCTGCAATATATAACATTTTTGGTCTTGGATTTAGTATCGCTTTAACTGCCACAAAGAAAGATCAAATTCCCTGCCCTGCCAGACAAAGGTGTGGTGTGTGGCAGAGCTATATAAATCTAAGTACTGTATAGACAGCAGGGGTGGACTGACAACTCATGGGGCCCCCGGGCAATAGGGGATCATGGGGCCCTTGTGTCCTTGCCCAAACTCAAAAAAGCCTATGAAAAAGGTACCAGGGGCATCTCATTGGGCCCCCTACTGACCCCGGGTCCTCGGGCAGTGCCCGAGTTTCCAAATGGTCAGTCCGCCCCTGATAGACAGCAATACAAATCTTGTCGCAGAGAAAACAGTTCCTATATATGTATTTCATTTGTGTGCTTAGCTGTTTGCCAGGAGTTCAGTATAAACTGTTACTAAAGCCAGGAGCCTGCAGTCACTATATCTAGTCTCCCACAGTACACACAACATGGAAGTGCAATTATTTTAGTAAATATAAACTGCTAAATACCTTTTACATGTTATGTGCAATTGTTGAACCAAACATCTAATGTTTGTGTAGTATTATGTTCAGCAGACTGTGTTCTTCATTGTTGGTAAACAGACTGACTTAGATGAAAGTTTCAGAGCACATTTTATGACAAGTTCATGCAAAACTCCACGTAATCCCAAGGGGTTCACATACTTTTTCTTGCAACTGTAAAATATAAACTGCTAAATATCTTTTCCCATCATCAGCAGTTAGAGCAGTCTTGTGACTTCAGCAGAGCACTGGTTAAAGCTTGCAAGAGGAGTTTTCATTTTGCTCTAGATGGATGCAGAACCCCTGACCTCTGTCTGGACAATGCTGATTGGCCCTGTGCTGATCACATGCACTCTCCCAAGAAAGAAAAAAAAAAAAACCTCTCTAGGAATACACACCAAACTGAGTATGTGCAGTGACTCCACACAATACAATATGTCTTATCGGGAGATAAGAGGGGGATACTGGAAGAAGGGGAGGATCAGAGAAGACAAGATAAAAAACCGCATTTTTAAACAATGCAGATGATTAACCCCTTAGATCCCACAGTGAGTATAACACGCATGATTTACTGCATATACAGACTGATTTTACTGTTGTGGGTTTAGTAACACTTTAAGTAAAAAGGCTTTATTTAAATAAATAGTAATAACAAAAACGGTATTGTGTTACTGGTTTCCTTCCAAGTTGCTCCTATTCTTTAGTACAATAGGAATGTCAGCAAAATAGTTTACTGTTATTTGCTTTAGAAATAGCGCACATACTTTTTATTCTCTGTAATGTTGTGTTTTACATTCATAGTGCATGATATCACAGGTTAAAGTTTCCTAGTGATGTCTCACAACTTGAAAACGTGATAACTACTACATTAATCCAATGAATGGTTTACATCATCAGTGCATTGTACTTGTACTGTACCTTTTACTAGATAAAGGTGTCTGTCACCTCTGTGTTTGGTTTTAGACAAGTGATCATTTTTAATGTCTACAAATAAATATACATTAGAGAAAGCACAACAGTACAACAACCTGTAATAGGGCATTTAAGGACACAGCTGAAAGAAATGTATATAAACAGGCACTGAAAAGGAAGCATATAAACACATGGTCATATAGTATAGTGTAGTGTATTCAGGTCTTTTTTTTTGTGTGTGTATTCCTTTGCTTACTAATTATAGGTTTAGGCTAGGTTCACACATGTACGTCTGCATTTTCATGCATTTTTGTACTTTTTTTTTCATGCATTTTCATTGTCTCCCAATAAAGTCCCTGGAGTCAAAAATGAACCAAAAGAATCTACTGCAGTCTTTTCCAAGTCCCATGGAAGCATGTTGCATAGGTGTGAAGAGGGCCCATAAACAATGATGGGATTCCTCCCATTGTGCATTGCCATACAATGGCTGAAGTGGGACAAATAACACAGGTGTGAACAGGGACTTAACTCAGTAATGACAGCAGCTAAACAGTCTAGCTGGCCATACATAGATTAAAATGTGTCCAGTTCAGCAGGGATCTGTTGAAATTTGATACATGTATGGGTACTGTGGTTGTACAGAAGTCAGTCTACTGATTGTGCCTTTGTACATCTGCCCTGTTGGGTTTTTCTGTTTGATCAGGATTGCAGGTTATAGCCAGCAGTGTTGATCAGTGTATTCTGACAGCAGGGAGACTTCTCCTTTAACCACTTGCCTACAGGGCACTTATACCCCCTTCCTGCCCAGGGCGATTTTCAGCTTTCAGCGATGTTGCTCTTTGAATGACAATTGCGCAGTCATTCAACACTGTATTCATATAAAATTTTTATCTTTTTTTGTGTGACAGATAGAGCTTTATTTTGGTAGTATTTAATTACCTCTGGGTTTTTTATTTTTTCTTAAACAAACCAAAAACCACTGAAAATTTTGAAAAAAAAAGTTTTTTCTTAGTTTTTGTTATAAAATTTTGTAAATAAGTGATTTTTCTCCTTCACTGATGTGCGCTAGTGAGGCTGCACTGATGGGCACTGATAGGCTGCACTGATGGGCACTGATAGGCTGCACTAATGGGCACTGATAGGCTGCACTGATGGACATTGATAGGTGGCACTGATGGGCACTGATGAGGAGGCACTGATAGGTGGCACTGATGGGCATTGACAGGCATCACTGATGGGCACTGAAAGGCAGCACTCATATATGGCACTGATAGGCAGCACTGATAGGCAGCACTGACTGGCACTGATAGGCAGCACTGACGGGCACTGATAGGCGGCACTGACTGGTACTAATAGGTGGCACTGATTGGCAGCACTGATAGGTGGCACTGACTGGCATTGATAGGTGACACTGAAAGGCAGCTCAGATGGGCACTGATATGTGGCATTGATGTGCTGCGCGCTCCCGGAGCCACGCATGCGTGATTAGAATGGGAGGACGTCTTATGACGTCCTCCCAGAATGAGAGAACCGCCTTGCGTCTGTCATTTTACTATACGGCGGTAGGCGGTTAAAGACACAGGACACAGTAGGGAGGATTTCCCCATCCACATCAAATGTGTGGATGGGGGAATCAGCCCACTTTTTTTGTTCTATACATTGGTTGAACTGCCTTACGCTTTAAAAGTCCAAGGGGGAATTTTTTTTGTCTTTAAAGTGGTTCTAAAGGTTAAGGTTTTTTACCTTCATGTGTTCTATGCATGAAGATAAAAAAAACTCTGTGTGCAGTGGCCCCCGCCAGCCTTCCACCCCCAATCCCTACCTGAGCCCCCTCCAATCCAGTGATGTTCACGATAGCCTCGGCTGTATGGGGACTCTCCCTCCTCATTAGCTGAGACACAAGCTATCAATCACAGCCATTGATGCTGCTCACACACAAGGATCACACTCCGCACACATACCCATCAAAAACAGCTCCAAGGTAATACTCCAGATCTAGATCAGGTTCCACCTTATAGGGCTCGAAATGACCAAGCCAAGGAACAAATAGGTGCTGATAGTGCAGTAAGTTTTATTAAATGGTAGGCTAACAATCCAGATAAAAAAGGTGAACTCACATGTGGTATTGAAAATGATAGACAAAAATGGCCGCTGGCCTTGTTCGCTCCGGTGGGCTCCTACTGGCGCGTTTCGTGCACCAGCATGTTGTCAAAGGGGTAAGCCCACCCCGGAGAACGTCAGGACTTAAATACTCTACTGTGCAAGCACGGGCGCGCTTCACACCTTACTTGTTTTATGAGAAGGATAACAAACTACTACTAGGTAAATACTAAAAGTACTAGGTAGTTTGTATACTTCTCATAAAACAAGTAAGGTAGTAAATTGGCAATCTACATCTTTATTCCGTTTGCCGTGCGGTTGCCCCGGGATAGGAAGTGACGTATCGTCACTGATCCTGTAGTCCGCCCGCACATGCGCACAATTGTAGTGTGACGCGCGCTCGCGCATGCGTGCATCTCTTTGTGTGACGCGCACCTGCGCTTGCTCATGCACGGTAGAGTATTTAAGTCCTGACGTCCTCCGTGTGGGCTTACCCCTTTGACAATGTGCCGGTGCACGAAACGCGTCAGTAGGAGCCCACCGGAGTGACGTCACGCCGCACACGGCCGCGAGCAAGGCCGGTGGACATTTTTGTCTATCATTTTCAATACCACATGTGAGTTCAACTTTTTTATCTTGATTGTTCGCCTACCATTTAATAAAACGTACTACACTATCAGCACCTATTTGTTCCTTGGCTTGGTCATTTCGAGCCCTATAAGGTGGAACCTGATCTGGATCTGGAGTATATTACCTTGGAGCTGTTTTTGATGGGTATGTGAGCGGAGTGTGACCCTTGTGTGTGAGCAGCATCATCCCATGTGTCCACATTGAGCCTGATGACCCCGCAGCCCTAGACCAGACCTAGATGAGTTTATATAGGATACACCTGTTTTGCGCATTTATTATGCGCTTCTGGGGAGTGCATCGTCTCATTGGCTCGCCGCACCTGAAGTTACCAGCACGGAGCACAGATCACTGTTATATATGTTGATTGAATTATTCACATCTGTCACGCAATTTTTATGCTTCGTTGACATATTGTAACGTCATAATAAGATGTAATTTTCACTTGTAATAAGCTAAACAAATGTTCTATAAAACACAGTTTTGTCAGAATTTTGAAAATTGTTTTTAAAATCTTACTTTTCAAAAGGGCTGTACTCATTTATACTGAGCACTGGACAAACATACAACATATTTCTGACTGTTACTGTAAAATTGGGGCTATGGTTGGAATGTATTTACTTCACAGTACAAACTTTTCAAACTTGGCGCACTTCCTTACATGCATATACCTTCTACCAGCTCTTTATTTCGATCACTGGGGATGGCAAGCATTATATAAGCAGGACTACAAGATCCAGCATAACTCTTCATGCCCCACCAAAGCGTGAATGTCTCTTACTTCACAATAAGAGTCCACTATAGTTGGTGTGTTAGGGGGCACACAGGTGGGGAGCACAGAGCACGTATCTTCTGTTGGATGCGAAAGGAATATTTGCACTTATTGGATTCACATTATGGACTTTTATTTCACATTATTTATTTTCATTGTTCATTTGTATTTAAGTTTAAGATTTATGTCATTTATTAATAATTGGGGCAGCGCTTTTTATTTTGTGTGATAATAAAAGCTACTGCTTCCATCACAAAAATGGATTCCCTGTTTGTTCTCTCCTTGGGACCTCACAAGGGGAACCCTGGTTAAAAAAATCCATCATGGCACAGTGGATAAAGAACTTGACCGCAAGAGCTTATGCTCTTATGCAAAAAACACACTCCTCCTGCGCTATTACGCACCCATTCCAGTGGATCAGTGGGAGTAGGGGCTGACTGACAACTCATGGGGCCCCCGGGCAATAGGGGATCAGGTGGCCCCTGTTTCTTTGCCCAAACATCTCATGGGGCCCCCTACTGACCCCAGGCCCTCGGGCAGTGTCCAAGTTTCCAAATGGTCAGTCCGCCCCTGGGTAGGAGTTTCCTGGGAATTTCGTCACCAAAGTTCTGTAGTCCAACTGTGTAAGGCTACCATCTGGTTTTCTGTTCATACTTTCTAAAGTTTACCAAGTCGACATCCAGTCTTCTGCGGATGCAGCTGTTGGTGACAAGGTTCTCGCAGCTACACCCTGAACTTGGGTCTTCTGACTCCTTTTGTTTTTTGGCTCATTTGGCACAGTTCTGTTTGCCTAGTTGTTGCCCTACCTTCATACTCATTGCTTGGGCACTTCCCATAAAAGAAAATTGCATATTTCCCCCATTAAGTACAGTCAGTGCTGATAGGAGAATCCCTTTGTTCTTTCTGGCAGGAAGGCTTCCCTGCTGACAAAACACAATGATCACTGCTGGTGGCTATAGCTGCCGGCAGTAATCACATAATCCGACAGGCTTGTTGTACTTTGATTGATGCTGATCTCTGCTGAACCATCTGAGATTCGATCCATCTATGGCTGGCTTAAGTGAGCAACACTGAGTGGAGCCTAGGCTGTTACAGCCCATGAGCCCACAATAGAAAATTAGGCTTCCCTGTATATTTTTACTGTGGATGCATGTATGCATGCATAGGCTTCCAATAACTTCTGCTGAAAGTAAGGAG